GTAAATATATGGGTAACCTACATGACACATAAGCGCCATTCGAAAGGAGGACGATACATCAAGAATTTTCAATCTGTGTCACTCAACTCTAATTGATAAACATTTGAAGTCCAGCAGTGAAAGGAACACACTCACCTCACATGAGTTGTGTCAAATTTACGATCGTTAATAGCTCTAACATTTAACCCGTCTCCCGTCTTGTGGCCTTTTCCTGTATTAAGGTATTCCGGACTACGTTCTAATCGTCAATTTTGATGAAATTTAAAAAAAAAAAGAAATTATTACTTTATTTTAAAGCTTATATATCAAACATCCAATAACTTTTATTTTTTCTCTCGCGTCTTTCGAAACAGAATTATGGCTGTTCTTGTTCTCTGCTGTCAAGCGGAAGTTTCCGTTTAAGCCCATAATATGGTGTCTAATGGAACAATGTGGGAAAGAAAAAAAAAAAAAAAAAAAAAAAGAAAATCTGAAATGTTTAAGATTTTAAATAACGTCCAAAGGGGCGATTTTTTAACATTTTGTGTGTTACATTTCTTTATTAAATATTATGTTCTTCGCACTTAAACCATAAAATTCAGTTCAACAGCAATATCGCAAAATATTTTAAAATGAGCATATCTTTAGAATTTCCGATACAGAGACTCGCGCGCTGGACATAAAAATGTTTTTTCTGTACAATGTTGCCATTGCTCGCTTTGAAATCCTTGAGTTTGTTAATCAAAAATTCGTTAAAGTCTTACAAAATATGAAATTGATCATGAAACAGATTCCAAATTTCAAATTTGGTCTTCTACATGCCCATATTCGCAGGAGAATGACGTCATTCAAAATTCGATGGCTCTATGTACCGTTGTTTTATCACAATGCGAGAAATATACATACATTTACGCAGATTCTTCATTATTTAATTTCTTCAAATATAATGCAGGACTCTAACACTAGGTGGCAACCGTTTGAAAAGTGAAACGGACATTTATAGTGAACCAACGCAAAATCGCAAAACGAAAACAATAGTCCTTCAGGGACAAAGCCGCTTTGGACTAAAAATGAGACAGTTCTATATCTCCCGTTCTACTGGGCCGATTGGGGAAATTCTGCTTGCGTTTTTTATGTCTCGAAAGCGTGACTTAGGATTCGTATTGGATTTATATATAGCATTGTTCTAATACAGGTATTATGATACTAAAATCGGACTTTCTCTGAAATAACGTACCTAACTTTTTTCTTTTCATATATCCATTCTACGTCTCAAATTACACCAAACTACCAAGTTTTGTAAAAATCGCACCAGTAGTTTTTAAAAAAATAGCTGTCAAAATTTTAGATCCTCAATGTTAATTGAATTTGGTATCTATTTATGAATATCTCTTTTTTTTATTAGCCTTATTTAATTCTTCCTTTTGTATTTCGAAATACAGGTTCATTCCAAATAAATTCCTCCATTTTTTATTATTTATTTTAAAAATTTATGTTTTTAAATAGTTTTTATACGTTTTTCAAAAACATTCTGAATTATAATCTATAAAATTTTCCCCATCATCTTAAAGTAGACGTATTTCTAAGCAAACCTGCAAAACATTACAGTTTTTACTTCCTTGTACGAAGTAAAAAGGAAGTATTGTAATCGCGAAAAGTTTCAGGCAGCATATTTCAACGAAAATATCCATTTTGACCGCTACCGAATGTAATTTAACGATGTTTTGCGTGATATTTGTACGTAAGACAACAATAAAATACTCTTTCCCCTCAAAAAAATTATAAAAGTGCTTTAAAATTAATTCTGAAGAGAATTTTTCGTGGTGTCTGTACGAACGTATGTACGTACGTGCGTACGTACATACGTACGTATCTCGCATAACTCAAAAACGAGTAGCCTCAGAACGTTGAAATTTGGTATATAGGACTGCTATAACATGTAGATGTGCACCTCGTATTTTGGTTGCAATCGGCCGCACCAAACGTATATAAATATATTTATATATATATCCACTCTATTACCCGGCTCAGTGATCTCAGTTTCTTTACTCTTATATGTTTGTAAATTGTGCATTTTTTGCTTTAAAAATGATTTAATTATGTTGTTTTTATCTTCCGGTTAAGGATTTTATGCCTTTAGTAAATCTGTGTGCAATATTTTTAGAATTATCAGCAATTTTAAAGTTGTTTAATTGCCGCTAAGCCTGTTTTTAATGGCAGCCATTGATGTTTACATTTGAAACAGGAGACTAGTGGATTTGTTGCCAATCTAGAGAAACTTAGCTTCGCAACAACAAAGATAATGCCCTAGCGATTGAAATAGCCATTCTCAAAAATCTCAACGAATTTAGCATAAAATCTAACTCCCAAGCAGCTATTCTAGCTATTAAAAATCCCTTACCTTCCTCTCCATTGATATCCGACATAAATTCTCTTCTTGGAAAAATCCCAAACTACAAAATTCAAATTTCATGGATCAAAGGACTTAGTGGCCATTTTGGTAATGATCAGGAAGATGAACTAGCCAAAGAAGCAGCTATTAATCAAGATGGTACTGAAATCATCATTCCGTGGCCTCGCTCGAATTTCAAGTACCAACTAAAACAACTTGCTTCAAAATCTTGGCAAGATTTGTGGAACAATGCTCCACAGGGAAGACGCACATATAACTTGATGCCCAATGTAAGCTTAGCATCTCTGAACTCGAATCCTTCCCTAAATTACTTTATAACAGGACATGGACCCTTCCCCACATATTTCTACGCAAGAAATTTGGCAAATTCTGACATCTGCTATGTGGGGAACAGGGAACTCCTGATCACTACGTTTTCTCATGCCTCTTAACTGAGGATATTCACATAAAATTCCCAAGAACTGACCTCCTGGCATTCCAAAGATTTTTAATTAAAGATAAACATCAATATCCAAAGTTTCAGAAAATTATGTAACGGCTCTCTTCCTACGGCCTAGATCTCTGTCAAGTGTAAGTCCACATACAGTTTAAACTTAGTGAACTTTTACATGCTGTAATTATGGACAAAATAGATCCGCTCGTGAACTGAACTTTATAAACTGCAATAAACCAATATATCTGAAATAACCCATGGACACCTACCTCTTTAGCATTATTATAACAATTCATTTAACATTGTGTTGCCAGTACTAATTACAATTATCTCATTATGTTTATTTGTTTATTAATTATGTTTATCTCCTATTTTTGTTGCACTAAATCAGATGTTCAATTTATCTTGTGAAACTCAAATTGTATTCCTACTATTTTGTAATCTACTTATGCCCTACACCATTATTTTTAATAAATACTGGATGAGGGGCGTACTGTGGAATTGCACGATGTACCATAATAGGCAAACTTTAGACCTTTTGAAAAGCTTCAGTCAATGCAAATTCTTATAAAACTTGCAATTACCCCCCCTTTTTTTTTCTCTCAAAGAGTTAGTATGGGAAGGCATTACCAGTTGACCTATGGTACATCGCTGGTGTCCCCCATACTTTTACCTTTACCTTTACCTTACCTCATTTATTATTGCCAATTAAATTATGCTTAATTCTTTCTGGAATTTTTTCGAGGAAATAAGCGTTTGAGATTTACTTCCTAATTTTTAATACAGATATTTTGGGTTTTTATGTATTTTTTCCTTCTCGCGAAGTGAGAACTGAATTAATTAAATGAGAAATACTCAATCGTCTGTGAAAATCTGTTTCTTTTTTGTTTTGTTTGCTTAATTTCTTTATACATAGTTTCTAGCTTTATTATAGTATTTGAATAGAACATGTGGCCACGATTAGATAATTCTTTTAAATGATATACATTTTGTGCATTCTGAGTTATAATATGAATGAAATATAATACTGTTAAGTAAACCTAGCGCCAGAATGTCGCTATGGTAAACAAAGTGAATTTTAAAGAATGCATTTATTCTATTGTGGTTTATGCGCTGTCGGCGAAGTAGGTTTAATTCAATCTAATAAGTTTAAATAAAATGCAAGGAAAAATGCGTATAATTTAATATTCCGTACAAGGAAGTCATGTGGTGTACACATCAGATTTTTTATTGAAAATTTCCGAAGATATACGTGAATTTATAAACTGGGGTGTTTTGAAATTTGGCATATTTGTTGAAAGAGATAAAACATCAAATGTGATTTAGACACTTTGCTAAAATTATTGGGAAGTAGAAACGAGGTAATTTTTTTTCGCTCATGCACAAGATTCACTTAACAGTGTTAATAATTATATAACAGTTAACTTATATAATAATTACATAACGGAAACTAAGTTAACTGTTATATAATCCAATAATTAAATAACAGTTAACTTATATATTTCGTTCATATTATAACTCATAATGCACAAAATTTATATCATTTAAAGAATAGAATTATCTAATCGTTGCCACAATCGTCTGTTCAAATACTATAATAAAGCTAGAATGATGTATAAAAGAAATTAAGCAAACAAAACAAAAAAGAAACAGTTTTTCACAGATGATACAGTATTTCTCATTCAATTAATTCGGTTCTCACTTCGCGACAAGGCAAAAAATACATAAAAACTCAAAATATATGTATTAAAAATTACGAAATAAATTTTAAACACTTATTTCCTCGAAAAAATTCCAGAAAGGATTAAGCATGATTTAATCCGCAATAATAAATGAAGGCGTTATCTTTGTTGTTGCGAAGCTAAGTTTCTCTAGATTGGCAACAAATCCACTAGTCTCTTGTTTCAAATGTAAACATCAATGGCTGCCATAAAAAAGAGGCTTAGCGGCACTTAGACAACTTTAAAATTGTTGATAATTCTAAAAGTATTGCATACAGATTTACTAAAGGCATAAAAACCTTAACCAAAAGATAAAAACAACATAATACAATCATTTTTAAAGCAAAAAATGTACAATTTACAAACATATAAGAGTAAAGAAACTGAGATCACTGAACCGGGTAACAGAGTGGATATATATATAAATATATTTATATCCTCCTCAGACCCGAGACAAAAATAAAAGCTTGATATTTTGTAAGAGGTATTTAAATAGTTGTTTCGATCACTTTGATGTAGAAAAGTGCAATAAAAATTTTTTTTTTAGTTTATGAAACCTAGGGGGGGATGTATCACATGTGATACATTAGGAACAAGGCACTACAATCAGAATTTTCTTAAGTATTAAGCAAGATTGAAGTAATTAATTTAATCTTAGTCTTTAATCACACAATACATACAATTCTATAAATTCAACACGAAAATTAAGTTTTATTGGCGTTGTAGGTACATATTATTATTATTATTTATATTCGTGAAATGCCTTGAAACAATTTCTACTAGTTGTAAAGCATAGAAAAACCTTGCAGTCTGTACATTGTACATTTGTTAAGGCCGAGCAGTTCTCATTCCTGCACCTACTTCGATGAGTTCTATCCCCAACCATTTCAGGCATGTGCCTAGCTTCATTGTTACGAGCTGCTTGATGTGGAATGCAAGTTGTAACTCTGCGTTTTGGAGGGGGTTCATCATTTTCATCTTCGGCTAGCGAAGGAGTGGGAGATGGCTTCTTCAGTAAGCCGTGGATGAGTGTATTTGCAATACTGAGTCTAAACGCAAAATAGTCCAGAATGTTCTTCTTAGGTTCCCCTAATTCTGTCATAGTATTTCTGTACGCGAGCCATGCACTCGACATGGTAAAGTCGATCATATGCAGAATGACTCGTACTGTCCATTTCTTGGTTCGGTGCTTCATTCTGTAGAAACTAATGGTACGGTCCAGATGATCGACGCCCCCCCCCATGTAATCGTTGTAATTTTTTACAATATGAGGGCAATCAACTTCTTGTCCGTTTTCGACCATCTTTTGCATTTTGTGATGGGAGTTTTTCCATGCTCACTGGACATCAGCAAAACACTTTTATTGTCGAACCATTTCACAAGGGAAATTTTTTGATCCACTCTCACAACTTGATCTATTGACCCTCGGCCTTCTCGTCTCATTTCTGAATCTGACTTTAGTTGTGTCAATTTCGGAACTTTATTTTTCATAAGAGTGCCAGTTAAATGCAATTCTCTATTCAGGAGGAAGTCAAGAAGCAATTCTGAAGTGAAATACCGGTCCACATATATCGAGGAGCTGGGAAATAATGAGTCCGAAAGCTTCAGAACAACTTTTCCTCCCAAGTCAAGAAAACTTGTATCCTCTGGAGATGTAACATCAGTTCCCTTTCCTTCATAAAAGATGAAATCTAAAGGCAAACCGTACGAAGAGCACATTACAAAAACTTTTATTCCTACTGGGTCTGGCTTTCCTCAGACATACTGTCGCATGAAAAGGGATAATCTGTTCATCAATTGAAACAATTTTTGGCCTTTTTTGCTTCAAGCAACGTTCTCGTATTTTATTTAGCATTGGCCTGACTTTCCAAAATTTATCTTTTTCCTTTATTTCCTTTGCGACATCATTATCATTTAAAACTTTCAAATTGTTGCGAATTTGAAAAAAACCTATCCCTAGAAATATTGTCAGCTATAATGGGTATCCGTGTGGACCTTTCCCATATCATTTTTATCCTGGGATACCCATAGCAGGACAAAAGAAGACTGCAGCCTATGAATGTCATCATTTCCTCTTTTGATGCATTAATACTCTTGCCAGTACGTGTTACGGATCGAATGTTACTGAAATTTGCCAAATCTTCAAAAAAGCATTCATCTAAATATTCCATAAAATATTCAATGGGTGCAGTACTTTGATATTCAAAGCATCCTACCTCCTGAAAATCAAATGAAACTGGATTGAACTTATCTGTATGTATTCCCCATTGAGTTGGAGCAGAAAAGTCAAAAGTTACATCCTGATCTTCATCAACATCATCCATCTCACATCCATTATCGCTTTGATAATCATCTTCATCTGACAGTGAACTCAAATCAGAATCATCGCGATTCATCAGCTCTAAAATTTCATCTGGTGTCAAATATTTCACTGAAAAAAATATTTATTAAATAAAACATTATCCAGAAAAAATGGGTAAAAATGGAATGCAAACACCTCAACTAAAGATTTGAATTCAAGAAATACTTCTATCAATCTTCAAATCCCCCCAAAAAAAAAAAAAAAGAAAAAAAAAAAAAAAAAATAAAAAAAAAAAAAAATAAAAAAAAAAAAAAACAAAAAAAAAAAAAAAAAAAAAAAAAATAAAAAAATTAAAACAAAATTGACTTAAAAAGTGTGTTCATAAGTGATTGGGTCCCATTGCATCACAAGTGATACAAACAAATTTCACAAGTCATTATACTTTAATATTTCAGTAAAAATTTCTTTTTTTGCTGTTAACTAGTAAAAAGTACATATACAAAGAGAAAGCATATTTTAAAAATAGTTTAATATTTGTATATAAACAAGAAAAAAATACTTACTTCGACGACGTGCAGACATTTTGTTTTGATTCAGAGATGCTACTAGAAATCGCTATCATGGACAAGTACTGCCATCTGTTGACTAAACGAGGAAAATATATGAGGTATTTCACTTTGTATCTTATGTGATACAACCGGTCCCAAATTTGTTTTTGCAGCTCAGCCTTCCCAAAAAATTATGAAACTTTTGTATCACATGTGAAAGGGAACCGAGGAGATATACGTCCGTTTGGTGCGGAGGCGCCCACACACACATGTGTTTTCAGCTAACCTTTCAAAAAAATTTCAACGTTCTGAGGCTACTCGTTTTTGAGTTATGCGAGATACGTACGTAGATACGTTCGTACAGACGCCACGAAAAATTCTCTTCAGAATTCATTTTAAAGCAGTTTTATAATTTTTTTGAAGGAAAAGAGTATTTTATTCTGTCCTTACGTACAGATATCACGCAAAAACATCGTTAAATTGCATTCGAAAGCGGTCAAAATGGATATTTTCTTTGAAATATGCTGCCTGAAACTTTTCGCGATTACAATATTTCCTTTTTACTTCGTGCAAGGAAGTAATAAAAGTTTCGTAATTGGAAAGAATTGTATTCATAACAAGAATAAAAAGAATTTGTAATCTGATTTTGGTTACAATCTTCAGTTTAAACAGCTGATACAATTTTAAGCTAAGAAGTTTAGAAATTAGTCCTACTTGTTTAAGATTAAATCCCAGTGAGTAAGTCATGAAACATTAAGTTTTGTATTTAAATTAGGAAACCCAAATCACAGAGAAAAATTTACTAAGGCGACTTTAATTCAATTTACTATGGCTACTTTAACTGCACAATTATTAGAAATATGTAGTTATTTCAAATTAGGTTTCATCACTTTTTAGACATACATTTGGTTTCTCTCATTTGAAGCAGTATTTGAAAATCAATGATCAATCGCTCATCAATGTCTAAATAGTTTTTTCATCCAACTAATCAGGTCCAAAGAAAAGCTGAACGAAGGCACTGCACAACTCATTTGCGAGCAGTGAAAACAACAGCAGAAAGGAGAGCGTACGGAAAAATAATGATTTAATTTAGGCACTTTTTCTAACTAAAGTTCATCCATACAGGTAATCTTTTCGGCTGAGAAATGTTTCTTTCTAGAGTAATTTCGCTATAAATCATGTTGACAAATGCTTGCTTAAAAGCTACAGCAGAAAAAGTAAATTGTTTTCTCCCGGAAAGAATCTTTGGCTTTGCGTGTGAAAAAAGATTTATCCCTAGGCATGGGCGTCGGCTACATATTTCTTCTTGAAAAAACATTCTGCCTTCCAGGAGTAAAAGTAGCCCGCAGATATGTACATCAACTGAAATATGAAAGCACGGTAATAATAACTACAGATTTCGAAAAGAACAATGCTCATTATTTTTCAAAATATTTGAGCCGTGCAATGTACAGGTTCGGAATGTACTCGATACTGGCTAAACTTAAAACCCATTCTCTTACTAATTCGGAATCACTGCGTGTCACAAGGTAGAGTGTCATATATATATATATATAATTCTTTTCAAAAACAGTTCAAATGACAGGTCACTCGTATGTTCTTATTAATTATCATTTATGTTACTGTAACATTTTCGTATGTGTATTACGTAGCTTTTATACTTTTATTTTGTTTGGTTTAATTATTAATTTTGCCTTATGCAGATAATTAGCATGAAAATTATACAGTATTCATTATGTTTAATCCGTATAATCCTGTTATATATTTTGTTATATTATCGTTAGGCTTCTTTCTCGATGTTCTTTGAGGACCATTTTGTTGTATATATCTAAAATGGGAAAGCGGAAAGAATTTTATTACACAATATGCATAATAATTGCAATAAAATGATTATTGTCCTCCCCGCCATCAAATTCTTTTATAAAATCAAAATCAAAAAGAAAGTAAACAATCCATATTTAAGCTAACATCAGTACTGCAATCATGTACTAAATCTGATGTGGTGGCCATATGACTTCCTTTTAGGGCCAATTAAATTACACACATTTCTTTTAGCATTTCATTATACTTATTTCCTCGAATTTCGTCAGAGATATATTTCTCATTCAATCAATTCGGTTCTCACTCCATTTTACAATTTACGTTTTGGGGAAAAGAGCCCTTTATTTTGTCCGTACGTACAGATGTACGGACAAAATTGTTTCGATTAATTAGACAGGAGTCAAATTGGAATTTTTCGTTGAAATATGGTACACGAACATTTTCGCGATTATAATACTTATTTTACTTGGTACAAGGAAGTAAAAACAGTGAGCTAGTTTAAATGTTTACCTGTGTAATATCTCAAGTATGATGAATAATTTACGTTCTATATTGATATATAAATTAATTTTTTTTACCTTCCTAATGCATGTATAAAACCAATTTTAAACTGCAAAAAGAAAGGTCTGAAAGGGTTCAGATTTTAACGGTCACCCAAAAGGGTTTGTTAAGGTTTTTTCACAGTCTTGTTGAGCTCGTAGTCTACCAGTTCGCTGTCGCACTCCTGCTAACCCATTTTATTTTGACTTTTTAGCTTTAAAATGATGCTTAATAAAGTATCATTTTCTTCTCACTTACGCCATGTCGAATTCAAGACCAAAATTACAAAAAATTTTAAAAGCAGCATGTGTTTAGAATTGAGTGTTAAGTGTTGGTATAATATTTTTATATTTTTTAAGTCTTTTTTCAGTTTATTATATCATATCAATGTATACAGTTTTCTTAATGTCTTGGAAACACTTTTTTGTCTTTTCATTATTAACGTTGTGTGTGTTAAATTTATTCATTAAATGTCATATCCTTCGCACTTACGCCACATAAAAATCAGTTGAATAGCAAAATCACAAACTATTTAAACACAGAATATCTGTCTGATATACTGTCTACTCCGCTGGAGATAATAATGTTTTAAATCGCTGAGTTTGTTAAAAATTCATTTACGTTTTACAAAATATGAAATATAAAATTTGAAATTCAAAATTCAAATTTCCAGATGCACATATTTTGGTGAAAGTCTACGTTATTCAAAATATCTAGGTACCGTCGTTTTTTCAATGAGCTCAGATTCTTCATTATTTTATTTCTTTAAAAATAACTCAGGACGGCAATATTTCATGGCAACAGTTTGAAAAGTGATAACGGCATTTAAACTGATACGCCATCTTTCAACTTAATTGTTAAATAAGATGATTCTGTGCACTGAAAAAAATAACACATAAAAGATAAAACAACACATCTAAAAAACATTAGGAAAAAGAAAGAGAGATAAAATAACACATCTAAAAAACATTAGAAATTACAGCAAAAAACAAGCAATATATATAGAAAGGCTTCACTTTTATTCAAATAGCTGATGTAGCACCCCGTGACTTCCTGTACATGCCTATTAAATTATGCACATTTTTTGCTGCACTTAATTTAAGCTCATTTCCTCGAATTTCATTAGAGCTATATTTCTAATTCAGTCAATTCAGTTCTCACTTTGCGGCAAGGAAAAAATGCATAAAAACTCAAATCTTCATTAAAAGTTGTAAAATCCAGAAAACAACTGAAACACCAGATACTGGTAAAAAGTAATTTTTATAATTAAAATTACAGTTTCTACCCCCAAAACAAGCAGTGCGGCCAGCGGCAAGAAGACAGCATTTTCTGTGCGCAAAACTAAAAGTTTCCACTGGG